GCTCTGTCCTTTATTTCCAGGATTCCTTCATTTCGTTCTCAGATTTCCATCATTTAACCACAAACGTTGCATCATGTGGTTACATTTGACCATAAATCAGGTCCCAACACTGATTTCTTTCTCTTTTTTTTTTAGAAAAGTTCATTAGAAGAATAAAATGAAGATGAAAAGTTTTGTTTATCTTGTCGTTTGAATGAAAAAAACTTTCTTTTGAAGTGGTTTGAAAACTTCCACCATTTAAAATACTTCAGAAAGTCAGGTTAAAATTAAATAGACATGTTAATTAGTCCTAAAAACTTTAAATATAGTGTCATGTCATTGAACTATTACTTAAAAGTCAGTTGAAATGTTGATGAATCTAAAGGTTTTAAAAAAGTTTTATAATTTAGTGAAACTCCATCATTCCTTCCCACTGCTTTTATCTTATATCATGAAATTCAAAGTGAGTCATTCAACCCGTTGCGATGCTCAAACTGTCGGCTTTTGACCATAACGTTGGTCTCGTTTCGTGCAGCTGTTCGCCCTGCAGACGGAGAGTCGGGACCCGAGGGACGGAGACGAGATGGTCCACCACAAGCTGCCGCCATACGTCCAGAACATGGACCGACTGGGAGACACTGAGCTGTGAGACACTAACATCACTGTCTTTACCGATGACTGACCACAACAAAGATGGCTGCCATTCTGTCCGTTCCTAATGTTCATGCTGTTCTTCTAAAAGACAGTCGACAACACGATAACCAAAGTTACTCACTGGAGTTGTTACAAACATGGCTGGTTCCACTGATCAAAGATGGCTGCCATGCTTTAGACATAACGGAGGTACTGTTTTTCTGCCACTAATGAATATTTTTTATATTGATTAATCTAAAGGAATAACTTTCCTGCACAAAAATAATATTAGCATTTCAAACTGTATTTTATTGTATGTTACAGCACAGTATGAAATGCTGACAAAGGTTCACACAAACTGTAGGTTCAAACTAAAAGCTCCAACATAAATATAAAAAGGGCTTATCGTTTAGGTATTTGTTTTTGGGAAGTTATTGATAGATCAAGCTGAAAACTTCCAACTATCTTTATAAATATCCATATTTTATGCTACAAAAATGCTTTTGTTGTTATTGTTGAGAGTTGCAGGTGGCAGCCATCTTTAAACTGAAATAATCAGAGCATACTTTCTATTAATTGCAGTTTTGCGGTTTTCGTTCTTTTGCTATGTTTCCCTTCCCCCCCAAAAAAAGCACAGGACAGACATGTTTCTGATGTTAGCACGTTAGCATGCTAGCTTGTTCACTTTGACCTCACTGTATCGACTGACTGCGTTTGTTTTTCTGGTGATCTGTTTTAAACATTGTGTAAAAAAGTAACCCTTTGTTTGCTGCACTTTAGAGCACAGTGTGGTTGAAAACCCGCTAAATGAAGGTTGATAGAGTTGATGGAGTTGACCACAAGGCAACGCTACAACACGGTGAAAGACATGTTGTGAGATTTTGAGTGACGCCGAACAGGTCGGACATGTCAGACTGAAACTAAGCTTCTGAATCGCTCAGAGTTCTTAAACTAATGGACCTGCTGAGGTTGTTTATCCTCCGTAGAAACAGCAGAATCATAGGAGGACATGATGAAAAGAGCGGGAAGTGTGAGTTGTTGTTTTGTGTTTTGTTTTTTTTCCACGAGTGATGTTACTTGATGTTCAGAAACCTCCTATCTCCATCGTCATCCTGGAGTCACCTCTAGAGGAATTTTTCATGCACTTATAAACTCAAACAAAACTGAATGATTTTTGTTTTTATCCGTATAAAATATATTTAAACGGTTTTTAACTAACTTATTGTTAACGGTACAGTATTCACCCTGTTCCAGTATTTCCACTGTGTGCTGTGATGCGGTTGATGTTGCCAAATAAACAATTCACCTGATGAATTGTTGTTTCTTGTCAGTACGATCCATTTTTGCAGATTTCAGTCGGTTTCCATACGATGGTTAAAGGTTGTAGATCTGACTGACAAACACAGTGCACTCAAAAATAATTCTAATTAGAAACTTGAATATGTAGAAAAATCAAGCAAAAAGAATCCACTGCATCCACTTCATTATTGAACACATCGACACTGAATCGACACCCTAATAAATCCCAATGGAATTTAGAAATAGTCCTGCTCAGACCGTTGCTCATCAGAACCAAGTGAACACCTTTACCAGGTGCCTTAAAAAGTATTCCCCGTATCATGATGCTGCCACCACCATGCTTCATGGTGGGGAGGGCGTCTTTGTGATGATGGGCAGTGTTTGGAGTCCACCAACCTTAGGTTCGAGTCAAAAGGTCTCATCAGACCAAAGAACCGTCTTCTAGTTGACTTCAGAGTCCCCACATGCCACTCTACAACACTCTTCCATCTCAGCTACCGAAGCTGGTAACTCCTTCAGAGCAGTCGTAGGTGTCTCTGGAGGCAAAAACATTACTAGTTTTACTGAAGAGAAGAAGGAAAACACACAGCGATCCATCACAACATTAAAACCACCGACCTACTATTGTGTAGATCCCCTTCGTGCCACCAAAACATCTCATGAAAGCATAAACTACACAAGACTTGAAAACACCTGAAATTGACACCAAGACATTAGCAGCAGATCCTGGAAGTTGTGAGATGAGGCCTACACGGTTGGACATCCCACAGATGCTTGGTCAGATTCAGATGTGGGGATTTTTGAAGTCAACACTTAGAAGTCTTTGCCATGTTTCTCAACTCATTCCTAAACAATTTCTGCAGCGGGGCAGGCACTCTTATGACTGAGGTATTCAGGCAATCCCGTTGCCATAAGGGGTGGATTCTCGTAGTTTAATCGTAGCAACTGGACCTGCTTGAGTTTCTTGAAGACGTTCCACCTCTCATCCAAGAGGCTTCATCAGCTCTGACTGACTAGTTGGAAGATCCAGATACTGATATCCTTAAGGAGTCTTCAAGAAACTCAAGTAAGTCCAGTTGCTACGATTAAACTACGAGAATAAGCATGACCTGGATGACTGAGGATCTTCACAGACAAAGGGGTGGATGTGCGTGCAGCATTGAGTGGGTAGGTGGTGCATGTCAAAGGAAGCAGGACGTTGCTCAGAGCCCACTTCCTTTGCTGGCTCACCTTCTTCCCATCCTGCTGCCGTCTTTTCTCCTGATAACTGACAAACCCGGTCGTCTGCTTGATATAAAAGAAAGCACACTCCCATGCACAATTTTCCAAGTCTTTGAGAAACAGTATCGAAAGAAGGTGCCAAAAAATATCCAGATCAGGTACAAAACACCCATGAATCAGGTAAAGAACTGAAACTACCTGCAAGTAGGTGGAGGGCCTACCACAATGCTTAATGTAATGAAAAGCTGAACTATGACGCTGTACTTTATAAGTCTAGTGATACACCCGAATATTTCTAGAATGCCCAACAATCACAGGTGTAGACTCTCTTCCACTTCCTCTTCACATCACACCAGCAAAATATCATTAGAGTTTTGATTCAGGTAGTTTCCACGACGTGCCAGTGACATTCCTACCTCAGGTTTGTGTTCTGCTGCTCAAACGCTAAACTCTTCTGTGTTTGATGTAAGAACCACCGTAAGACTCTGTGGAATCCAGTATAACATTCAGTTCCATCTGTGGATTAAATTTACTGGATCTGGGAGTAAAAGTTTGTAGTACTCAAGCCATCTTCGTACGTAAGGTAATCAGGATCAATACCTATATAGAGTTTGGTGTCATCGGCATAGAAGTGAAGTAAATGGTGTGTTTGCAAATGTTGATCCATTGTGGAAACATTTACAGGTTGTTTTATGATGATTTCAGTAGATTTAAGTCTTCAGAATGCCAAACCTCATATCTTATGTAATCTAAACGCTAATGTCATCACATACGTCACAGGTCAATTTTCAACAATATCGCTGCATCTCCAAAATGAAGGGAAGTATTAACGGGTACAACTCTGCCGAAGCCTCGTCCTGCACTTCACGATCAGTCTCTGCAAGCTCTTAAATCCTGACTCAATTACCGTTTGGACTCAGCAGGAGCTCTTTCAATACGCTGTTGTTGAACTTGCCCACTTTCTCTGCCCTCGTAGGGACTTGGTGTCGAGTCAGCGAGCCGTGAGCTCCGTCACCACTCCTCCCAGAAACTTCTTCTCATTCCTACCACAAGGCCGACGCACTCCAGGAAAACCGCCTCAGGTGTCCACCGGTTCCTCTCCGAACCAGGCGGCAGTCGGGAGGAAGGACCCATCGACCAATCAGGTGAGAGCAAGGAACTGTGAATTAGGAAAATTTCTTGTTGTTTTCAGATGTTGAGGCTCAAATGCAGTTAATCTGCTCTCCACCAGATGCTGGTCTGAGCACCAACTGTTTTAAAGGAAATTGGGAAATCCCCAGCGTCTTTCATGTCAAGAAGGGTTTTACGCATCGTTTACTGATCTGACCATCACCAGTTGGTTGGAGCAAATCTGACTTTGCACCTTGTTATTCATAGTGACAAGTTCATGTTAGTTCCTTTTTGTCCCAACCAAAGGCATCTTGTTCTATCATCAGGCTTCAAATCATCCCTCAAGAAAACTGTAGGGTTCTGAACAGATATTTCAGTTATATTTTCCTATAGTTACAGTTTTAAACTTCTCTTTTAGCCTCCAAAGTCTAAGGAGGTGGTCCAAGCTAAAGACGTGAAGCCGACTTCCAGCCAGCCATCGACCAGTGAACCAGCAGGTTCCCAGCAGCCTACGAACCAGTCGGCGAACCAGAATCCCAGACACAAAAGAATCCAGGACCATGAGAAGGAGAGGAAGGAGCTTTTCTCCAAACCTCCACTACAGGTACCTGAGTAGACCCATTTGATGCAACACATCTGCTGCATTCGTGTGTTCAGGCACTTTTACTGGGAAATACCTGAGATTAGTCTTTATGCTAAGCTATGCTAATGGACTTCTGGCTGATATATCAATCTAAAACTTGACAGATACTATTTTAAATATCCAGAGTTTATTATAAAAAATCAGCTCAGAGATGGTCAATGAGAAGGAACCTGATGATTTCTGAAGGAACAACCTCAAACAAGCTCTCTGGTCTTGAACCTGATTGTTTCCGTCCATTCAGACTCAAGAGAAAAAAGTGGAGTCGATGGAGGCCGAACCTCCTGCCGAACCTCCCAGTGACCTTCCGGACCCCTCAGCAGCAGAGGGAGGAGGCCTGTCGACGGAACAGCCCTTCATTAAGCTGAGCCAGGAGGAGTACGGAGAACATCACTCGTCCATCATGCACTGCAGGTCATCATCAACACTTTCACCAGCCGGCATCATGAAACACGAAATAAGAACCTGAAGCTTCGGTTTTTCTCTGTTTTCACTTCGTCTTCTGGTTTCCAGGGTCGACTGTTCCGGTCGCCGGGTCGCCAGTTTGGACGTGGACGGAGTCATCAAGGTGGATCTGAGCTGCATTTCCTTCTAGAGTTGTGTGAAAACAGAAAACGAAACTCTGCAAATAGAAACTTGTAACCAAGCCTTCGTCTTCTTCTCCAGGTTTGGTCCTTCAATCCCATCATGCAGACCAAAGCCACCATCATGTCCAAGTCTCCTCTGCTGTCTCTGGAGTGGGCGACCAAACCGGACCGGCTGGTACGAACACAAACTCAGCTCAGACTAACCCGCCTCAGAGGAAACGGGTTCCCAACAGAACTCCACGTCAAACAGGATCAGTTCCTGGATTGTCAAACCTGAAGTGTTCTTCTGATTTTGCGTTTTCTGGCTCTGATAAATGGTGTAATCCTGTCGACCTTTTAGATTTAACCGTCAGCAGGTTCTGGGTTTCGAAGGATTCATGTAAAAATATTAATTTGTGCAGCTTTAAAGTCCAGTATTTACCTTTTCTTAGTAAGATGAGCTCAAATAGGGGATATAATGGTTAATATGTGGTTCTGTTTGCTTTATTCTAAACTGTAAAATTTACTTTTTTTAAAAAATCAGTTTCATTTATAACCTGATAAAGGAAACAGAATTCCGCATTTCCATTATTATTAGTGATTAAAACGTTGCTAAACTCAGTGTGCAGCTCAACATAACAGAAATACAGTGAAAAAATCTACAGTTACTGAGTTAATTTGCTGGGTTTTGTTCATTTTTATTGTATTTACATACACTAATGTGTTTGTTCTCAGCTGTTACTGGGCAGCGGCGTCGGAACGGTTCGACTGTATGATACGGATGCAAAGAAGAATCTGTACGAGATGAACATCGATGAGACTCATCCGCGGTAAAGCTGCCCGTCGTCTTTAATAAACACTGTAAAGTTTGAGATTAAGAATATCAGTTAGACTTTTTTGGGTGAAACAAATCCAGTTTTTCCAATATGTAATAAAACAAGTAGGAAAAGTCGTCAGGGTCAGTCCGTCTGATCTCATCAGGGTTCTTCTGCTCAACTATCCCTGATTTGCTTTAAATGTTTTTATCATAAACTCTGGATGTTTAAAATGGTATCGATATATCAAATAGTTTCTGAGATATTTCTGTTAAAACAGAAAGCCACTTTCACTTTCACAGTGAAACATGAGCAGTCTACCAGCAGGGTTCAGTCGTCTTCATGAGTGCCAAAGGGTTTTCTAGTAGGAAAATAAAACCGCAAATTAGCCTTAAAATGTTAAATATTGAGGTTGAGACCCTTCAGTGTTGTTTATGGTGTGAATTTTGTTGAATGTTAAGACTCAGATGGTACAATATTGTTAATTGTGGAGATTAACGTGGATAATTTAGAACTTCTGACAGTACAAAAGTTTGTCCTGTTACATGCTGCAGTTCCTGCTTCACCAAATGCAATAAACTACAGTCGAGCGTTTTGTCGTGTAGCAGTGAATGAATATCTGCTGCTGGACTCTAAACTCTGACGCTAACAGACTCTTGTGTGTTTCAGCATCTTGTCTTTAGCCTGCAGCCCCAGCGGATCCTCCTTCGTGTGTTCGGCTGCAGCGCTCAGTCGATCCGGAACCGTCTCCGGTCAGCTGCTGCTCTGGGACACGAAGACGGTCAAACAGCAGGTAGTTAACCGCTTAACTAGCTGGTTAGCAAGTTCAGTTTTTACACTGAAGCTCGTCGATGTTGGGTTTAAAATGCTACATGCTTTAATATGCTAACGGTTTAGCATTTAGCTCTACTTTAGCATGCTAACATGCTAACTTTGCATTCTAGTTCTTTGTGTTATGTTCAGTATTTTGATGGAACGACCACAATAATAACACAATCATGTGCAATAACAACTGTAATGTACAAATCTGGTGCAGAATCATGTGTCAATACTTGTACTGCCTCCATTTTGGTCGTATTTTCTACGATCGGATGTTATTCCTGTAAATATACACGTTGCACTGTGTACATACGTTCTTTGCACTATTCTTATACTGAATGCTTTAATTATTTTTATGCTCTTTGCACTGTGAAAGGATTTAGTTTAGTTGTGCAACGACACTAAAGTCGTTGGTTACCATTAGCATGTTTAGCATTAGCCTCCCCGTCTGTTTGTCCTGCAGCTGTGGTTTAATCAGCGTTCTGATGTTCTGTCCCTCAGCTTCAGTTCTCTTTAGAACCTGAACCTGTCGCCATCAACTGCACGGCCTTCAACCACAACGGGAACCTGCTGGTGACCGGCGCCGCCGACGGGATGATCCGACTGTTCGGTCAGAGAGTGTTTTCATTGTTGATTCTTCTGTTGATTCTTCACCATCAAAAACCCCGACACGTCTTTGTTTAGTTTGTGGACCGCTGTGACCTGAGGAGGCTGAATTTACTATTTCACACCTCTTGCGGCTCCAACCAAACCTTCCATACGTAACATTTAACACTGATTTTAACACATTTACCAAGAAAAGGTGCAAATGCAAAGTCCAGGTTTAGGATTTTAGGAATTGATATCAGGTCATTCAAATGGTCAATCACATGGTAATAAACCAACATTTTGTAATGTTTTTTAAATGTGAAACCTGTTTTTTGTCTTAAAATAAGTTCAGGTCAAGAGAGAAACTACTTTTGTTACTGTAACTGTCAAATATTCCACCAGGTTTAGTTATAAACATGCTGTAGCTCGACTCATGTAAATGATTGAGGAGCTTTTTACTGTGATAAATAAAACCAGTCCTTCTCCGTCTGTCTGCAGATATGCAGCGATACGAGAGCGCGATGAGCTGGAGAGCTCACGATGGAGAAGTTTACAGCGTCGAGTTCAGCTACGATGAAAACACCGTGTTCAGCATCGGCGAGGACGGGAAGGTGAGTGGAACCTGGAATCACCATCAGACGTACGAATTAAATCCAATGTGACCGTAAACACCTGATAGACTGAACAGACGTGTCTCTGTGAGTCCAGTTCATCCAGTGGAACATCCACCGCTGTGGAGTGAAGCAGTCGGAGCAGATGTTACCCCAAGACGCCACCGGACCCTTCGTCCTGTCGGGATACAGCGGATACAAACAGGTGAGTTACCATGGAAACGGCCTCTCAGGTCACCAGCATCCTTCTGTTCGACCGTCTCGACTAGTTTGGAACTTTGTCACGGTGACGGACGGATGTTTGAATGGTTTCAGGTTCAGGTTCCTCGAGGTCGACTCTTCGCCTTCGACTCTGAAGGTCAACATGTTCTGACGTGTTCCAGCTCCGGAGGCCTCATCTACAGAGTGAGTCCAGCTTCACCAGCATCAGTCCAAATGGTTTATTATATTATCATGTCTGTTGCAGCGTCTTGTTCAGGATCTTACTGATAAGAAACCAGTTTAAAAAAAGGTCCAAAACGAGCCCAGAACCAGTTCTCCCAAGAAGTCTAGAACCAGGTCCAACTCTAAAAGTAGCTCTTCAATAAAGTACTGACAGCCCAGTTCCAAACCAGTCCAAAACCAGGTCTCACACAAAGACTGAGACCAAAAGTGGTTTGAAATTAAGTCTAAAACCAGCTCAAACCAATCCAAAACCAGGTCTAAAACCAATCCAAAGCAATTTTTTAAAAAACAGGTCTAAAAACAGGTGAAAACCAACCCAAAACCAGATCCCAAACCAATTTAAAAACAGGTCTTAACCCTGTTTAAAACTAGCCCAAAACCAGGCAAAAACAAGACCACAATCAGGTTTAACATCAAGTCCAAAACCAGGTCTGCAACCAAGTCTAAAAGTAATTCAAAGCAGTTCAATGTCACGTCTTAAATAAAAAATGGGTCTAAAACCTATTAAAACCAGTCCAAACCCAGGCTAAGACCAGCCTAGAACAAGGTCTAAAACCTGTTTACATGCAGTCCAAAATCAAGTCCAAAACCAGTTTAAAACTATCCCACAACCAAGTTTAAAACCAGATGCAACCAGCCCAAAACCAGACTAAAACTACTCCAAATGCAGCTCCAACACCCAGTCCAAAACAGGTCTAAAACCAGTCTAAAACTAGTCTAAAACCAAGTTAAAACCTGCCCAAAAACAGCCTAAACTGGTCTAAAAGCACTGAAAAACCAGTCCAGAACCAGGCTCAACACCAGGTCCAAAGCCAAATTTGTCTTTCAGCACAGTTTGTGAAATAGGAACCAGTTAAATCAACCCTCGATATTTTTTTTTGTATATTGAATGTCTGCTTTTCCTTGTGATCCTCCAGCTGACCAATGGGGATCCAGCTCTGGACAGAGTCCTGTCGCTGGGCGGACACAAGGCACCTGTGGTGACGGTTGATTGGTGCTCGGCGGTGGACTGCGGCACCTGTCTGACGGCGTCGATGGACGGGAAGATCAAACTGAGCACGCTCCTGGCTCAGAAGTCCTGACGGAGGAAACTGATCGATTAGTCAGGAACCGGATCGATAAACCGTCTGTCTCATGAACCAACAGCAGAAACTCATCCTGTTAAATTCAGATCATCATTAAAATCTCACTGAAAGTTACACTGAGAGCTGCTTCTGTTCTTCAAAGCTGCTTTTATTAATCTTTATGCATCTCAGATCATCACAGTTTTAGAACAATTTCTGCTCAACCAGCTCTGATTCACTTAATCTTTTTTTAGAATAAACTATAGATATTCAAAATGGTGTCTGTGACATTTTAGATTAACATATAAGATTTTTTTTTAAAAATTGCATTAAAAAAAACATTGAAATTCGAGTCTATCTGAACAACAACATCGGAGGAACTGTTAAAAACAAAAACCTGAAATCTTCTCTGTTATTTCTCATCATGTCACTGATTCAGAATCTGTGATACAAGACAGTAGATCAGATAATCTCTCTGGTTTCTGAACCACATGTAGCTGCAGGTCACAATAATACATAACAAATATAGAATACTTTTAATATGAAGTACTTAATCAGAAAAATGTGCACATATTAAGAACATATATAGTTTTCATAGTTACATTTTAATTTGAAGCTCCAGAACTCTCTTTAGATCAGACTATGTCGCAATATTTTAGTTTTTGTGGCACAACTTGTCAAACCTGCTCAACCAGTTGTGAAAGTTAAAAAATATATAACTCCAAAAACTAATAACACTACATGAGCATAAATGCAGTACCTAATAGAAAAAGAATAACATACAAGCATGATATGTTAATAAAATAAATAAATAACAAATGGTTAAAATATTTATAATAATACTGCCAATAATTCTGAGGTAGAAATATTACACATGATATTAAAATATTATATGCTTATTGTCGATTTAATTTGCCTATGATACTATTTCAGCGTTTTTTTTATCGTTTCCTTCTTCGCATCTTATATTTCATATTTATTTCATATTATATTTGACCAGTTTTATTATAATCTTATTATGAGTCCGTCCTGATGCAGCGGCTCCGCTGTGCCCTCTGCTGCTGCAGTACCTCCTGTCCGCCGCCGCGGCGCTGTGACCGCGTGCGCCTTTAAATCTGTCAGTGAAGAAGCAACAGCAGCCACAACAATAATACAGCGGAGCTCCAGCGGCTGGAAACCCGCGAAGAGCCCGAATTCAGCGCTCGATTCTCGGTGTGAGGACCAGCGACGGGCCGCTGCTGTCACCAGGAGCAGAGAGAGAGTTTACGGAGCGGAGTTCGGGCGCCATGTTCGTGTGTGAGCGCAGGTACCAGCTGCTGTCGCTGTAGGAGGCGGAGGCTAGCTGCTGCCCCGTTAGCTTGTTGACGCCGAGCCGCTCCTCCGTGTCGCTCCTCCGGTTCATGTCACTGAGCTCCGGCACCGCGGGCCGCCATGGAGAGCCTGTACAAGCGGAAGATGTTCGCCTCGATGCGGAAGACCAAGGCGGCCGCGTCGAAGAAGCGACAGATCGGCCTGCCCGCTTCCATCCTGGACGACAGTGACGAAGGCTCCTTCTCCTCCTCCTCCTCCTCCTCCGTCGGGTCCCAGTCCGACTTCCAGAGCTCCCCGGAGGAGGACAGCGAGCAGGAGGAGCGGGACCGCAGCGAGTCCGGGGCCACGTCCAGCGACGACAGCCGATCCGTGACCCGCAGGAAGCGCTCGTTCCTGGGCGGCGACGACAGCTCGTCCTCGGAGGATGAAGAGGACGACGAGGAGGAGGAGGAGGGCAAGAGCCAGCCCCGGAGGTCGGTGCAGCCCCGGAAGAGGAGCCGGCTGCAGCGGCAGGACGAGTCCGACTCGGACCACGCCGAGGAGAAGCGGCGGGAGGAGGCCGAGAAGGCGAAGCGGAGGCAGAGACACAACAAGCTGCTGGCGCTGTCCCGGAGGATGAAGGCCCGGGTCCCCAACCGGCGGAGGAGCCGCCTGAAGCAGGTACGTACCGGGGCCGGGCCGCTCCGTGGGGGGCCCGGGCTGTCAGACAGCAGCAGACCAGTTTTATATCCAGCTGTGGTTTTATATAAACTAGCTCAGAGTTGAGGCATGTTGTCCTGGTTTACGTAGATCCGTATTTCTCTGGTGTCCAGGATTAGAGCTGCTGTCAGCTGGCTGCTGGAGGTCACTGGAGGTCAGCGGCTCCACCTCCTCACAACCTGCTCACACTTTACAGGAATGATATTTGGCATCTGAAACGGACATCTGCCAATTTTGTAGCCGAAATTCCAACATTTTCATAGTTTTTCACTCAATAGAAATGTTCAATAAGTCATATGGCAGTTGGGAATCGATCAGATGCCACCTTCACACGTCCATATCCCCCCTCACCCCTGCCGGTCGAGGCAGACGGCCTCCTTCCCACAGCCTGGTTCTGTCCGAGGGTTGTTTTATCCCCTACCTATTAGGAGGGTTCGGTTCCTTCCCACCGGTGCCGACCGCTTGCTCAGATGGAGTCCAAAGGCTGCTCTGGATTGTTGGGTTCTCTGTTCAGATCCATAAAGTCTTCACCTGACTGTGTGAAGCGCTGTGAGGTGACATGTTGTCAACTGCTCTACACCAGAGATCTCCAACTCTGGTCCTTGTGAGCTCCTGTCCTGCAGGTTCTAGACGTTTCCAACACACCTGACTCACATTAATGGATCTCCAACAGCTTGCTGTCAAGTTCTACACAAGTCTGTTAGTGATCCATTAATGTGAGTCAGGTCAGGAAACGTCTAAAACCTGCAGGATCGGTAGCTCACAAGGACCGCAGTTGGAGATCCCTGGTCCAGATAAATAAAGTTGAATTGAAGTATATGTCCTGGAGTCTTCACATGTTCAGAGATGTTCAGTGTGAGAATAACATCTGAGTGACATCACTAGTGCTTAGAAAGCTTTTATACGTTGGTAGAAATGGGCGTTACGTTCAATCAAAGTTGACGCTGGTAAATCTGGAGTCATGGGTCGGCTGATGGAATTTAGGACAGTAAGAGATGGAAGAATCGTCTACTGCTGTGGCAGGTTCCAATGTCCTGGATCACATAGATCCTGTGTAATTTCTTGAAAATCCACTTTATTTTGAGTAAATCCTGAATTTCAGAGGACAAAAGCAAAAACTGAGTCCTGATTGCCAGAACTTGCTGCATTATCTCCGTTCACCAGAAACTTCTGAACATCTCCTGAAGGTCTGAAGACTCCAGAAGGTACACTTCTGGAAAGTGGCATCTGGCTCAGTTTCCAAACTCCAGCTCCTGTTTAGACTTTGAGGTCAACTAAAGTCACAAACTGTGTCCTTTGTGTTTCTGTGAAGCTCAGAAGCTGCTGCACATGTTGATTAAAACTGACAATTTCAATGACCGCCGTCTATACTAGACCCAGAGAAGTGGTCCTTCTTCTTACTTTGAGGGGAAGAAAGTCACTTATAGTCATGATAAACGTAGGACATTGTTAGAAATATGTTAACAAACACGTACAGAGTTTATTTATGATGTCAACACTTAACATTCTGTCCATGTGTGATGATAAGTTATCGAACTGCAGCAACTTATGGCGCAATAAAATGTGTAACAAATGATTCACCTGCAGCTGATAAACCAAGAACCTCCACGTTTAGAATCATTTCCAGTCATATTCATGTATATTTTTATATTAATGCTGTCTGAAGCTGCAGATGTTTAATAAAGTCAGAGGAAAACTCCTGAACATCTGGAGGCAACAAACCGAACTTCAGTTAAGACTCCAACGTCTGTGTGTCGCCTCCTTTTTGTTTGTTTGTTTGTTTCCGTGACTAGAAACCACCGGTTAGGTTGAACTGTGCACACAACAGCAGTAACCTTCCCGTTGCCTCCGTTAAGGTTCTGACACTGGGTTGTGTTTTCAGGGCAGCGGAGACGAGGACGAGTCCAAAGAAGCCGAGGACGAGGCTGCTGGAGGCGAAGACGGAAAGAAAGGAGAAGACGGCGGCAAGAAGGAGTCGGCAGGAAGTGACGAAGGAGGGAAAGAGGAGGAGGAGAAAGACGAGGAGGAGGAGGAGGAGGAGGAGGAGGAGGAGGACAGCGAGAAGGAGGAGAAGGAGTAGATCTGTCTGAACGTGACTCTCAGCTTTGTACAGTTTTTTCTCCTGCAGCACTTAGAGAGCGGCTGAAGGCTGCTGCTGTGATTGGACAGCGTCGGCCTGGAAACATGGAGGTCCTGGAACGTGTCTTTGAACTGATGGATGTTGTGAAGCTGCTTTCGTTGGGTCCTGCTGATCTGCTGACACGTTTGTTCAGAGCTCACGTTAGCGTCGATCCTCTGACAGGTGGAGGAAGCGTTTAGCTGCCAGGTGTGACGTGGAACACTGAACCCAACGGAGCGATGTGGAGCAGAGACAACCTCCGTCAGAACCACAAAGCGTCTGAACAGCATATTTGCTTTATTACCTTTATTTTTGGGGTTTTTCTGTTAGGTGTGGCGACTGATTCTAATTCTAGCATTTAGTGCTTCTCAGTCAGGATGAACAATAATCAGAATATAATTAAACTGTAACAGAAGAGTTGTATGAAACTCAAAGCAGCTTTTTAGATGAACGGTAGTTCCATCTCAAACCAGCGAGCTTTTACAGCAGTTTTTGTGTGACCAGTTTGAATATTTTTTTAGCATAAACTACAGATAGTTATAAAGATATTTGTGAAATTCTAAGTTGATAAATCAAACACGCTCCCAGATAACGTTTTTTTTTTTTTCTTTAAATCACCCGTCGACCCACTTTCATTGAGTTTTTTTCTCACATTAAATCTGACTCTGTTTGAACGACAACATCTGAGGAACTATTAAAGACAAAAACCTGAAACTTTCTCTGTTATTTCTCATCATGTCACTGATCCAGAATCTGTAATACTGGACAGTAGATTAAATAAACTGATGATGGAGGAGCTGAAATATGAGGAAAAAGTTTCATCGTTGAACTCAAATAACAAAAAATTGATAACGAAGAGGTCGACTAGTGATGTTTTCTGACCCACAATAATGTATTTGCCAAATATTTCAAAATAAAAGTCTTCTACATGTTTAGTTTAGTATTATTGTGACCTGCAGCTACATGTGGTTCAGAAAACATCACTGGTTCACTTCTGCTTTATCAGATTTTTTAGTTAATTTGAGCTCAAAGATGGAACTTTTAATGATTTCTCTTCATATTTCAGCTCCTCCATAATCAGGCATCATCTGATCTACTGTCCAGTATCACAGATTCTGAATCAGTGACATGATGAGAAATAACAGAGAAAGTTTCAGGTTTTTATCTCTAATAGTTCCTCAGATGTTGTTGTTCAAACAGAATCAGATTTAAATGTGAGAAACAACCTGATGGAAGTGGGTCGACGGGCGATTTAAAGAAAAAAAAAAAACGTCATCTGGGAGCGTGTTTGATATATCAATCTAAAATTTTGCAGATTTCTTTATAACCATCTGTAGTTTATGCTATGAATTATTTCAGGCAAATCAGAGATGGTGGAGCAGATTTTTTCTTATAATCTAAAGACCAGAGCTGGAACCAACATTAACTCAAAGCACTAAAACACACAAAGTCCTGTTCTGGAAAACTGAAAGTCTGTGAGCATAATGAGGAAAACGTGCCGTTACTAAAGGTTTTCCTGCTACACTATGACACAGTTTATTATATATTATTAATGCAAAAGCAGGATTTTACTTCTGTGGTAACTCGAAGCACTTGAACCTTAAACCAATGAGCAGAACCAGAACCGTTAGCCTACTGGAGCTAGCAGGCTAACAGCGGATGCACTACGTCAGACATGAGTGGTGTCTGTTTTAGTTTATCTCTAGTCACAGCTTGTAAAGTGTAACTGAAGCTCCACGTGTTGGGTTTCTCTTGTTTTCAGTGACCTGAAGGTCACGTGACCGACCTGAACGTGTCAGCAGATCAGCAGCGACGCTAGCGGACGCCGTCGGCCATGTTGGGAACCGGATGAGTTCCTCCGAGCGGACGAACCGAAACTCTTCCACCCGACAGCTTTAACAGAGAAGCCGACTTCGAGAGCGTCGCCGTGACGAACGTCCAGACTTCCTGTTAGCTTGTTAGTGAACCTCTGAAGGTCCGACGGAGGCTCCTGCAGTATTTACAGACTCAGTATAAACCGACTGACGGCTTCTGCTGCACTTTTCTCCTTTTATTTACTCCTTAGTTTGATCCGGGCTCTTTTCCTGCGATGCGGATGTTCCTTTTGAATTCTAGATGCTGTCTGAAGTTATTCACGAGCGTTTTCTTGTACAGCAGCTTTTGATTTGTTCATCTGTTCTGCGGCGTTACGGTACTCCGTTCTCTCTTCGTTGCCGTTTCCTTCATGTCACTGAAGCTCCACAGAACACCTGAGCCGCCTCACTCGGCTCCACAGAGGCCACGAGACGCCAAAATGTTCATGTACAGTTTAAAGATCAGATCCACCGCTGAGTATTTAACGGTGTTTCTACGTTTCTCCAGAACGCTCCGTCTGGTTCCCTCTCTGCACTCGGCTGAACGAGTTTGATTCCAGCCGGACGTCCACGAATGTGACATGAGAAGAAATGCAGCGACTCCTGTAGATAGAACTCATTTGGAAAAAGCTTTTTTGTACTTTTCTATTTATTTCCTGGTCTCTGAAGTCGGTGCAGCATTTATCTGGACAGATAACAACCTGCTCTCTCTCACATCTCCTTTCGTTCCTTCCTTCCCGTCTCTGTATGTTCGAGTGCCGACATGACGACTGGATGGAAGTCCCACATCGAGTCCGTTTCTTCGTTTTGAGCTTTGACGACCACGATCGAATGTTTAACGTCCGGTTTTCAGCTGCTGGAACCGAACCTCCGGAGTGTGTTAGAGCCTCGTGGCCTTGGTTTCTCTTTTTGTTTTTTTCCTTTTCCTCGGCGGATGGACTCGGCGTGTTGAACGTGACGATACACACACATCATAGTTGCATACCAGTGCTGTGTATTGACTTGTTTTCAGTGTATTTCTGGTCTTCTGTTGCTGTATAAAGCTCTCCAGACCGAACCACCATGTCGGAAACAACTCTTTTATTAATAAAGGCTCTTTTTTTGATCAGCAGAATGTGTGTTGGAAGCTGTCGTGTGTTACGTTTTGGAGCGTCGGACGACATTTCTGATGATGTTTCCGTTGCTTCCTGACCTGTTGTGTGAAAAGTCTGCACACATTAATTATTTTTTCCAAGTAGAGCAGAGTTCTGGAGTTTCAGAATAATTCTCCAAATATTATATATATATTTTTGCAATTTAAAAAAATAAAAATTCATACAAAAAAAAAAAAAAAAATCATACAGATGTCAGTATAAATAACTCTGGTCAGAATATGATTGAGAAGTAGTTGAAATATTTATGTATTTAAAAAAAAACAAAACTCAAAATAATGCAGAGAAATATTAAAGTACTTTTAGGCCCTTATAGAGAAAATGTATTCAGATTTATTTTAAATAGATTTTTAAAAATGTTTTGCAGGTAAATGTGTATAAATTTATGTATATATTTACTCATATCAATAATCTAATTAAAAATAGGGAATTATTTTAAAGCGCTCCCTCCTTCAAAATAAAAGAAATGATCTTATTTGAACATGCATACATTTTGGATTATTGTCACAAATGAATGAGACTCAACTTTAAAAAATAATAATCAGAAATATATATATTATATAGAATGTCTTTTAGTTTCTATTTAAATCACTGATATCAATAGAAATTATTTTGTGCTCAGTAATTTGTACTAAAAAACTCTTTTTGGATGCAAAACTTTAATAATAAAGATTATTTTTTAGTAAATTAACAGCAAGAAATGTGATGTTTTTGCCACATTGGTTATTTGAATTTGAGATCGAAACACAACAAAGAAGACAAGCTAGCTTTTAGCTTTTATGACATGCTATTTATATGAAAACATTTTGAATATTTAATTACATTTATGCAAAAAGTTAATTTGATGTTTGTAAAGTAAATTAAAACATCAGCTCAGTCCAATTCTCCCTCCCCTGCTGGACACACTGCGGTACTGCAGGAAGCGGGCTCGGCCAATCAGACTAGAGAACAAAGGTCAGGTGACGCAGCCTCCGCCGCCATCATTGTTGGTGGCAGTGAAGCCCGTGCGGAGGGAGACGAGGAGAACCAGCGGAGCTTCGTGGAGCCAGCAGTCCGGGCGTCAGTGAGCGTTGTCCGGGCAGCAAGCATGGTCCAGACGTGCTCGGCGTACGGCTGTAAGAACCGCTACCACAAAGACAAAGACATTTCATTCCACAAGTAAGTTCATTTAAAGTGTGTGCGGGAGCTAGTTAGCGTTAGCTGCCCGGACGCGTTAGTTAAGCAGTGTGTCGTACTGCTGAAGAGTCGTCTGAAGAGGCGGCACCAGCCTCCCTTTACTAATCTGCTTAATTAAACATTAATTGGTCCCCGTTAACAGTGCGTGAAGTGCAGAATTTGATACGGGACGTTTTTTAAGTCAGCAGATATCCCTGATAAAATCGGGCCACACTCAACTCACCAAACATCGTTTCATTTGGACAAATTAAAAGTATTTCTTCAAGTTCACCCGCCTGTCGCTCAGTTCTCCTTCACCAAAGTAACAAGTTCCCCTCCGCTGCAGCTGCGGCGGCGGTTCCCAAACACACAACTTTAGATGCTAATAAAACTTAACCTTAAACATCGTTTTGCGTGTTTGCACACGCCGAACTCACCGGAAGATTATAAATACGCGTACGCAACACTTAAAGCCATATTCTGTGGCATATTTGAGTTGCTCAGAAGCGAGGAAACGTTAAATCCAGCTGTTTCTGAATGGAGTTCGGTTCCAGCTCACTTCTCGTGTGGACGCTTCCTGGCGGACGAGCTAATGCTAGCCTGGAGTCTCCTCCGGTGGAGCAGAGTAAACATGTGGACAGGCTGGAAATGTGGCCATGTGAGAGGAGCCGAGCCACACTCCAGTCAGCTAGCAGCAGAGGCTAAAGTTTGATTTTACAGTTTGAGGAAGCAGCTGCAGACTGAGCAGAGCAACAGCTGACAGCCTCAAATCACTGATTAGTTCAGGACTCAAAGTTCCTCTGTTGTTTCTCATCATGTCACTGGTTCTGGATCTGTCATGTTGGACAAGTCGGTCAAATAATCTCTGACTATGGGGGAATAGAATAAAAAATTAGAATAAAACTTTATTGATCCCTTCGGTACAAAACCTCAGGGATATGAAATGAATATATGAATATGAAAATAAACTGAAGCTGAGCTCATTAATAAAATATTAATAAGCAGAAGTGAACTAGTGATGTTTTCTGAACCACATGTAGCTGCCAGAAAGTTCTTTTCGTAATTATTGTGCATCATTTAATTTATTTATTCATCTAATCTTTGTCCTTTTACTATGTTTTTTTTTCTTCTGCCTCTCTTTGTCCAGCGTTTAAATACAAAATAAAGCTGCCTCGCCTCATTTTTTATTAAACGTTCATAACCGATGGAGCAGGTCTGACGAGGTGTCGCACAAAAACAAACTAATCTGATCCAGGTGGAGGTCTGGAGATTCAAAGTCCGTCAAACCTGCTCAATCAGGTCTGAAAGTTCAACAGAAAATAACTTTATTTTCATTTTTGTGACCAAATATTTCAAAATAAAAGTCTTCTACATGTTTAGTTTTGTGTTATTGTGACCGTGTGGTCCAGAAAACATCACGAGTTCACTCCTGCTTCATCAGATTTATTGTTAATATGAGCTCAAAGATGGAAGTTTTGAATGATTTCTCTCATATTTCAACAAATCTGACCTGATTCATAAATAAATGAATTATTGTTGTGAATGCTGGTGATAAAACAGATCACATTTTACACTTTATCCTCCGGTGCCGCAGGTTTCCTCTGGCCCGTCCAGATGTTTGCGGTAAGTGGGTGGCGGCGATGAGGAGGAACAACTTCAAGCCCACCAAGTACAGCAACATCTGCTCGCAGCACTTCACCAAAGACTGCTTCAAGAGGGAATGCAACAACCGGGTGCTGAAGGAGAACGCCGTGCCGTCGCTCTTCACCTTCAACCTCAGCATCAAGGTGAAGCTGCAGCTCAGACGCTGGCGTTTGGCGCGTCTCAGTCGGGACGAACCAGAACATCTCTGCAACAGTCCAGTATTCACATTACAGAAGCTGCAGGTTTTGGATTGAAGCTCGTTCCATCTCACAGACCTTCTCTGATTTACCTTTATAGCACAAAACGTTTTAGCCTCATATGTCAAATAATTTCTGAGAAAATGTTTTTAGAATCACCTGTCGACCCACTTTCAGCAGCTTTTTTCTCACATTTAAATCTGAGGCTGTTTGAAAAACATCTGAGGAACATTTAAAGATAAAAACCTGAAACTTTCTCTGTTATTTCTCTTCATATCAATAATTCAGAATCTGTGATATCAGACAAGTTGAAAAATTTACTCGTATTACAACAACAGTATTTTGAAAAACTGATCATCCAGACATCAGCTAGTGATGTTTTCTGAACCACATGTAGCTGCAGGTCACAATAATACTAAACCAAACATGTATAATACTTTTATTTTGAAATACTTGGTCACAAAAATGAAAGGAAAGTTGTTTTTCTTGAACTTCATCACTGATTGAGCAGGTTTGATGAGTTGTAGCACAAAATGTGAGTAGATCTTCTGATCCAGGTGGCATTCTGGAGTTTCAAAATGGTTTTGATAGAAAAATATTTTTTGTTTTTATTTTTTATTTCAGGTTTTTATCTTCCTCAGATGCTGTCATTCAAACAGACTCAAATTTAAATGTGCTGAAAAAAGCTGACGAGCACTTTAAAGAAAAATTTAAATAAGATGAAGCTAAAATTTGGCAGATACTATTTTAAATTTGTAAGATTTTAAGAAGTTTTACACAAATCCGAGATGGACGAGCAGAAGTTTCCAGATGATCTGAGATGAAAGAGCCCCACTGGGTTTAAGTTAGCTTGATAACTAGATCTGGTTAACTTCATGTTAGCTAACTGAAGCAGAATCTGAGTTCTTGTGTTTTCTTTCTCACAGTCGGAGTCCCTGGAGGGTCCGTTCCCCTCAGAGATCCACTTCCCTCTGTCCCTGCCGCTGACCTCCGACCCGGCGGCGGACGAGGAGCCCGAGAGGAGCCTGGCCGACGCCCGCGGCGACACGGCGGCGGTGTCCTGCGACCACAACTACACGGCGGAGGACTCGGCGCAGCAGAAGAAGCGCATCGAGCAGCTGGAGGAGCAGCTGGAGCGGCTCAGGAAGAAGCTGAAGACGACGCAGCAGAAGTGCCGGCGGCAGGAGAGGCAGCTCAAGAGGCTGAAGGCCGCCTGCGAGGCGCCGCCGACGGGCCGCGAGCCGGCGTTCGGCGAGGGATACGTGATTTTACCGAAACACATCTACCACACGCTGAAAGGCATCGAGTGACGGGAGGCTGCTGCTGACGGAGGTTTAATCTGCTGCCATCAGGAGGTGCTGAGCTTCTCAGCCAACTGAACGCTGAGGACCGGATCAGGTCCGACTGGTGGCGACCACAAACATATCAACCTGTTCTGTTTTCCTTCTTTGTGTTTGGGCTGCAGTGAAACGACTTTTCAAACGTTGGGTCAACGTTTTGGGTTTGCTTTTTGACCAGAGTTGTGTGTTGACTTCTTGCAGGTTTTTGCTTTTCTGTTTGTTTCAACTCCTTTAAAAATCACAAGCGGCTGTTTAAACAGCACCAAGTTAGCTTGTTTCACACAACTATGCTAAGCTAAGCTAAGCTAAGCTAGGCTAACTCCATTCACATCCTGTCTATGGATGTTGATTAATCACCGTTAATAATTTAACTGATGACAAATACATGAATCAAGAAGGCAGATGTGAAGGTCGTGCATGTTTTTAAACGGACCGTAGATCAGCTGTAGTACCTGGTTGTTCCACCAGGTGGAGCCTCTCACTGCTTAGGAGACCAGAGGAGGCGGGACTCAGACTCCAGACGGGTCATGTGGCTAACAGAGAGGATTGTGGGAGTTTAATGGATACCAACTGGAAAAAAAGTGCGATCTAAGTTAGATGTCACATGACCAACACTGATGCCATGTGACCTCGGTTAGCGGACGTTCATTAGCACATGTAGGACGGCTCACCTGCTTCACTTCCTGTTATCGGCTCATTGATTATCGATTGATTGGGCTGCCAGCTGTTGGTTAAAAACATGATTTCATTATCCTGACTCCATCTTTAAAGGTGGATTCTGCCATTTTAATTAGCATATTGAGCTAGGTAGCATATGCTAAGCTTTACTGATGTGTTGCCAACCCTGCCTCATTTCCTCTGTGCTGTGCACGAGCATGAACGTGCACGAGCATGAACGTGCACGGGACGCACGGGAGTCGTGTTGATTGGGCCGAACCACTTTGTTTCTCAGTTGCAGACTCACATCTGAAACCTTTATGTCGGACCGATGGTTCGTCTCACTGTCACTAAGAAGCACATCCACGTCCCAAGATGTTGAACTGGACCTTTAAAGGTTCCTGTGTGAGGTTCTGGATGCCGTTCGGCACAAAGTGTGACTTTAACTTCTGTTTTATTTTTTATGTGTTGTTTCCTAAAAGGAGAAAATCCAGTTTGAGGATTTTAAAGATGAGCTGCGTGTAACAAAGGGCACTTCTGTTCTGTTGCTTTACTTCTGTTTCCAGTTTTTCTTCTTGTAGACGGGATGCAGAAACACTACGAGTGTGTGTGTGTGTGTGTCTGTGTGTGTGTGTCTGTGTGTGTGTCTGTGTGTGTCTGTGTGTGTGCGTGTGTTGGTGCAGGGTCCTTGATCAGCTGCTCACGTGCAATAAACTGCAAACTCGATGAAGCCATAAGAGCGGCTCGTCTCAGTTTCTTTGGGTTTTAATCTGATGCTTGGTCCTGGAGGAGGCAGGTTTACAGATCAGGACTGTTCAGGAGTTTCTAATAATCAACGCTGATTGTTAAAGTACATTTGTGTTGCTGTTTTCTGAGCTGTAGCCGTCTGCTGTCTCTTCCGTCTCTACTTTGGACTCAGTTTTATTATAGATGCACTTTGGAGTTTAATTAATTTAGTTGTTTCCTGCTGTGAACACGTTTCCAACACGGTGAAGCTTCTGCTAAGAACCAAGTACAAAGAGAGAAAACACTGATGTTCAAGGATAATTCCAGCTGATCTCAACCTGACGTCGTGCTAACTTTGCACTCTTCACCTCTTTTGTTTTTCATTTTTTAGAGATTTGGAAAAGCAGAAAGTCGTAGACTTTATCGTGGCTTAAAAAGTTCTCTGCAGCCTTACAAAA